TACAAAAGTATTCTATTCGACTTATAACATTAATCGCCGCCATCTTCGCCAAACGTCATGTGGTGCATAGAATTATTAGGCTTAGAACCGCAGCAGGCGCATGCAAAGTGAAGCCGTTTCAAGTTAGCCTTTTAAGGCTAAGTACGACTTTCAGCGTGTCGCTACTCAGTACTCGAGTTCACGTAGTCGTGTAAAGAGCTCGCGGCATTTTGCAAAAAACAACTTACTGTGCTTTAAAAGGGTGTTATAACTCATCACATAATTATGAAAAAAAATCTAAAAATCTCATTTCGCTGGTAATTACTGCCTAGCATCTTATATTTTTATAAAAAACATTCATCAAAACCAAATAATAAATCTTAAATTTGACAGACACCAATATAATGAAAATGTTGCTAGGTATAGTAAAATATTTTACCCCATATTTTCTTATTATTATAATTACATACTGCCAATATGAGACTATTATTGTTGTATTTTTATTTGACAAATAAAAATACCTACAATATTCACGCATGAGTAGGTATTTTTAATTGCCAAATATTATTATAGGGTTCCCACTTGCCAAGAAAAAAATGTGTTGATTTTATTTTGTTTTGTTAATGTGCAGTTATTATTATCTTTTTATAGTATGTGTTTTAGGATAAATACCCTATGAAATTTTTTTTAAATTCTAATAATGATTTACAAACCTTCGCCATTTCCTAAAAAGACGATACGTTTGCCACTAGCCAACAGTGGTGTATTAAATTATGATAAAGACAATAGTTAACGTTTAGCCAAAATAACACAAAAATATTTATTTTGTTTTAATGAAGTGAAGTCGGTAATAACGTGAATATTATTGCCAATTTAAACGTATTCGTTTTTAGATTTTCGTCTGGTCCGACTGTTGCTGCTCAACACAGACCACCCAGCCTACGAGAAACCACTATGATTTTCTAATTAAATTAGTCTGTTAAGGTTAGAAGAAAGAAAGGTGTGCGGGTGGCGCGTGAGATGTAACTTAGAGATGTGTCACATCCATAAATCGTACGCGTAAATATGGGAGACTATGAAAACGTAACGTAAAATACACCGTTTAATACAAGTAAAGTTCTTTAAAATATATACATGTATTTTACATGTCATTTATAACGCTAATCGCTTACCATAAATCCGTTAAGAGCGGAATGTGCCTAAGAAATACACAAACATAATACATACTCTCGAAAACCATGACTTTGTTTCGGCCTCGGCCGCGACGGTCAGGTGAAAATATCTACATTAGGTAAAATTAAAAAATGTAAAAAAAATAACCTATATTTTTTATTAATTAGGATTTGTAAAACTGTAATTTGGATTTCAAATTATAATTACATAAAGATTAATATACACAAATATAGTAGTATGACTGTTCGTCTACACAAAAAATAATAACACAATAAATAGTCGTTAAACTTGCATCGATACTTTTTTGGGCATTTCTACTTACACGTGCCGCCTGCATCCCCTCTGATTGATAGACAGAGACGCAATTATAATACTGCGTGCTTGACAAGGACAGCCTCAGAACTAAGACCAGAACACGTTGAACCCTCACGGTTTTAGTGAAACGTGACTTTATCCTTCTTGAAATTACGTTTCCTGCTATCACTATCACACCACTTTACTGCGCAAGTGGCCATGTTTTACTGTTTTAATTCTAAAAAATTGTAGTGCTATGGACGCAGTGCACAAGTCTGTTGTCTGGTCACTACTAAACAGGGTAGCGGTCGTGTTCAACTGTATAGGGTCTGGTTGAGCAGATAAAGTACATAAATTCGTTGTCGCCTTTCTTTACAGGTCTCGTAGGCTAGGTGGTCTGTGCTGCTCAATGAATTGAAAAAATTATACTTAATCGCAAAGAAAACTAACGAAAACTAACTAATTTACGTTTCTAATGTAGTTTACTCCATTTGTAGTATTGCTGAAAATTTCTAATGAAGTTTACTCCATTTGTAGTATTGCTGAAAATAATCTGCGAAATCATATTAAGCATAATGCACAGGAAAACAATTCATAGAAAGAGCTATCTCTCGAAATTATTGCCAAACTCGTTGGTCCTTCTCTATTTCCTATTGTAGAAGAGCACATCAATTCGCAACATCACGACACAAATCTGGCGCGGCTTATTGTAGAACGTTATGTAAGAGTTCGATTCTTATATGAATCCAAAAAAGATAATATTTCGCGGATAGCGTCATCAAAGCGGCAGTTATTTAGAAAACAGTTGCAGATGCAGGGTTATTACTTATTAAGTAAGAGACGTTTAGTTTAAGTACTTGGGTATATAGTTATTTAATAAATATTTTTAGTTTCGTGTTTTATTTGAATAGTTTTTCTTCTTCCGAATCTTATTTTGTTTTAATACAAAACGCCTATTCAAAAAAGTATATCATTTATTTATATAAATATATACTTATATAAATAACTCTTCTAACAGAATAATATAATGACATAATAGATTTGTGAATATTATTATAGCATGTGATATTACGTATATAAATAATTTTAATAAAATATTAGCTAACAAATATAAGTAATTTTATATTTCTCTCTTTGTAAATTATTAATAAATTCTATTTAAATTAAATTCTAAACGCAACCTAAATATAAATTTTACGACACTTTGCCCATTTTTTGGGGAAATCGTCATTTACTTGCATACATTACTCATTTGCTTGTGCGTGCGTGCGGGCAAACGTAATTACAGGCCGCTTATGCACACATTCATTGTGTTGTTGCTTCAACTTAGAACGGAATTTTGAATGACACTATCACTCTAAGTCTAATTACTCTATGATGTGGTGTATAAAAATTACTAGGGACGCCCAATCGCTTATAATCGATCTTTTGAATTTTTAATGAACGGTTGCATATTTTTTAATTTGAATCACATTTTGAATTTATTTCAAGTAATAAAAACAATCAACCACCATTTATTTTTGTTATTCCCTAAAAGTATAATTTAAAATACCTACTACACCGATGAATGAGGTCAAACTCGAAAATAAATAGGTAGTTAGAATAATGCTGAAGTGAACAAAACCTAATTATTTCATCATGATCAGGTTTTCTAATGATGGTTTAGAAAACCGTGTGGCTTACTTCTGTAACGATCACTTACTAGTTTATGTTAATTAATATTTTTATTATAAAAATGACGGTAAACAATAAATGGATAAACATTATATCGATAAAATTATTCGAGGATAGACATTTACAGAAATAGTACCTATAATTCGCCTATGTTGTCAGCAAAAATTAAGTTCTAAAAATTAATTTCATGTCTTGATATTGGTAGAGTAGTTTGGCGCCCTTTCATACATTTACTTTTACTAAGGGAGTTTATATTGTCTTTGTTACGCAAATGCAATGAAAAGTGTATTTTGAGTAAATTGCGGCTCTGCTAGTGGTATTATGTTGTTGAAAGACGTTACTTAAATTGTTAAATGTAAGACGATATTGGTTTTCAGTTTTTTAAAAATCACACCAAATGATAAAAACCATAATAGTGGTAGTTCTATTATAACCTCAAAATCTGATGCCTTTTTTGAAATATATCTTTTCTGCAGCTAGTCCGCTATAAAAATAAGATCATATAGAAATTCCCTAATGATCGACAGTACAACACACAATTTTCCGATGCTTTTGATTCCAGGGCGAACAATGTATGGGTGCTGAGCAATGTCCTTTTATTCATTTCGTTTTAAATCATCCAAATTTAGATTATTAAAGTTGACCTAATACACTAATTTCGATATAGCATTAGTCACTTCGTCATATTTAAATGATTGCAGTTTAAGTTTAAAGCTAAATGAAGTATCATCGACAAATATTCCCTAAACATTTCCTACAAGGGAAGATAAGTCATTAATATAGACGAATAGGCTTAGAACTGAGCCCGTAGAAACATCCATTAGAAAGAAACAGTTAATACAAATAACGCAAAAGAACTTTTTCCATTGCTAATAACTTTATGCGCTCTATAACTCAAGTATTAAATAACAAGTTTAAACGCTATGTTCTTGACACTATAGTGCTATAGTTTCCTGATTAATTTCGAATGGTAAACACAGTCGAAGGCCTTGTAAAGGTACACAAATTAGTAAGCTCTATATCGGCGTCAGTTGCCCAGCGACCCCTTTTAAAATAAAATTGATTTTTATGAAGCATCAATTTATTTTCAAACAAACTAAGCATTTGAGCTAAAAACATATTTTCAAAAATTTTACTAAATGTTGGTAGTACTGAAATTTGTCTAAATTTGAGAGCTTTAATGTTTTACCAGATTTCAATAAAATTATGACTTTACTATGTTTTTATGTACTTTATACTATGTTTCATTAAATAAAAAAAACACCAGATTCCCCCTTTTTATTAAAAATGGTACCAACAAGGTGAATTCTATCTATTATGGCAACTACTTTAAAATAATTCCCCCATAAGATTGTCGTTTTCTCATCAATAATTTTAAAATTTTAACAGTACTCAATGGAATTTAAAATTATTTAGCAAGCGTTTATATTTTGTTTAAGCAATAATTCAGCGAAGTAGAATTTAAATATCTTGTTGTCAAAAAGGAACATCAGTGAAATGTTTCTCAAAAGCCGCAGCAACCTTATTCACCACATTGAAATACTTTATTGTTAACATTAAATTGTAAATTTAATTTGCGTAGCTTGACCTTGCCTTTTTAACAATCAATTATTATACTCCACGTCATTTAAATGTTATTAGGAGTAGTTTTAACTTTTATATTTGTCAAGAATTAGCTGTGGAGCACACTTTTTGAGAAACTTTGGAACATAATTTTCTATACCTATTCCCTAAATGTATACCATGATCATATAGATCTTTCTTTATACACGTCATCAAATAAAATAAAAGAATAAAATAAGATTTACTTTTACATTTATTTCTCATTCCACAAACATTTAAATTAATTTTTCTAAGGCCTAAAAGATTCCTCCCTTCTCTTAGTATTTCTTGAATGGGGTTTTTTGACCTACATAGTAGGGATAAGAGTACTGGTATGGGTAAATGTCATCTTCGTGGTACACAAATACATCCTCAAAGTACATGTTAGGTTGCATGAAGTAAGCCTCGTTTACTGGGCGGTCGAATGGATAACCGATAGGTATGTTATCACAACTAAAGCTTGCAGTGGGCTTGGTTTCATTTTCCGTGGCATGGTAGGGATAAACTATTACGAAGAATTGGTAGGGGAATCCTCCCTTTGTTCCCTTAGGTAACATCAATCTGGAGGGCATAAAGCCTGATTCAGCAGACATATGAGCAGGAACTTTGCCTTGCTCAAGTAGCTTGTAGACTTCCGTAATTGGAACTGAATCTTCATTGAAGAATATGAAGTCTGTTGAGCTTCGCACAATCTCGTTTTGTCCAACATTCAATTTGTGTACGAACCTGTCAAGTTCAATAAAGTTCATCCAGTTATCTTCTAATCTAATGGGATAGCCTTTACCGTTGTATTTAGGGCCCATGAAAATCTTGAATACAGCATCGCCTTCAACGTCGGACTTAACATCAACAGTAACAGTAAACGGTTTGTGGTTAAGTCGTGGCTGACGCACTTTGAAAGAAGTGAATTTATAGGTTTTCAATTGTTCAGGTGAGAAGTATAAGCTATTTGTAACATCAAAGTCAAAGTAATCAAAGAACGTGACAAGTTTCTCAACTTTAACATCATTTATCTTCACTCCGATGTATTGAAGCACATCCTTAGTGTATGTTGATACGTGTTCCTTGTATTGAATAAAGTATTTCAAAATTCTGCTGTACAGTTGGTAGAAAACGGGATCACGGAGAGACGTTTGATAGAAATCAAGCGCTGTTGGTAGGTAGGTGTATCTGTAAATATTAGGAAAGACAATTTTAGGGATTGCCATAATAATAATTATATAAGAAAACTAGCGGCGCATCGCGGCTTCGCCTGGACACAATATATTAATATGATTTCAATTAGATTTAAAATAGTCACAGGCATTCATTTCATCAAGTTTTCGTTGTAAAAATATCTTTTAGTTTTTTGAATAAAATACATAGGATTAAATGAGTGCTTATTTACGAAAACATACGTGATATTGAAAAAGTGACAGGTGACAACTGTCGTATATTTTAACCAATTATTTTAATTAAAATATATTTATATTTTATTCCTGAAATTCCGAAAAATAATGTTTGATGTAAATAATATATTTCAATATTAATGAATATGTGATAATATATTTACAAGTTCGTTTGCCTGAAGTGATGACACGAAATAACCATGGCCGAATACACCAAGAATATATTTTATTTTGCAACATTAATGCCAGGGAGAACTTTAAAGAAATATTAAATGAGAAAATAGAACAACGTCAAAATAACAAAATCAATGCTCACTACATTTCTACTGATCCCAAGAAAACAACGAATGCCGCGTTTTTATTGAGATGCTTCTTTTTATTGAGATTGTCACCAAAAGAATAATAAAATAAATAATAAAAATGTTTATTTCAATTACATAAAGCTTTAAGATACAGGGTTTGGAGATCACCTTTTAAGCAAAGAGATGCTTGTGTTAGGTGACTCCGCTCTTCCACTTAACATTATACAGTGTATGTAATTGGAAACAAAAGAAGCTTTGAAACTATCAACTGTAAGCGGTTATAGTTGTAGGTCACTTCAAGATGCAACGCCTGGTGATTCATCGTACACAATATTAATATTAGATTGCTTTAAGGCGATAAACAAAGCTCGAGAACTAGGTTTTTCTTTAAATTTTCAAGATTTTGATTTGTACTAAATTATAGACTTTTGAGTGCTGTAGATATATTTTTACATTTTAAATTTTTTACATTTGCTATGAATATTATCGCTCCAATACATTCACAGCCGAATTTCCTACGGTGTCAAAATTGTACCGACGGTAGGCTGTTTAAAGGTAAAAAGGAATTAAATATACACATTAAACGATACTATAGTAAAAATATTTCGGCTTCACAGCCTACCGTAGAAATTCATGACTCTTCTGATAATATACCTAATGACACAAATTCTTCACTTTTTTCGAAACAATTATACAATTTGTATAGTAACTTACCAGTGGTTAAAAGAATTCCCAGAGGCGCGAGGATGCACTTGCTAAAGCATTATCATTAACTATTCAAAATTGTCTAACGAATTGTGAAAAAAATTGGCAAAAATTATTTAAATTCGCGTATTCCCACTTTCAATTTAGTAAAACAATAAATAAATCAATTACGTCTCAACTAAAAGAAAATTCTTTTCAAAATTTGAATTACCCGATTAATACTCATTTCTCTCGATCTTATCCTAAATTTGATTTAAAAAAAAGTAGTTGAATCAAAAGTAATGGACGGCGACTTAAAAAATGCATCCCGTATTTTATTCTTAGATGACATCCTCGCTCCTCGTATGTCGAAACTCTTGAAGGCCTTCGTCAGAAACATCCTTCGGTCAATCCTTCCCAGAATTTACCGCTGCCTCCCAATACTTCTATGCAACCATTACAAGTTTCCGAAAAAGACACTTTAGACGCAATATTGTCATTTTCGAATGACTCTGCCGGCAGCATTGACGGGGTTACGCCTCAGCATCTCAAAGACCTTGTAAGCGTGTCTGCCGGTGACACCGGTAGGGTACTTCTTAATGACATAACAAAATTATGTAATTTTATGCTTTCTGGTAATGTCAATCCCAATTTCATTCCCTACTTATATGGGGCAAGATTGTGTGCCTTCAAGAAGAAGGATAACGGTATCCGTCTTATTGCTGTTGGTTCCACATTTCGACGCTTAACTTCAAAATTAGCTTGCAGGCACATAATCTTAAACGTTAAGACAAAATTTCTACCAACTCAACTAGGCTTTGGCACCAAAGAGGGCTGTGAGGCGGCAGTACATTCGGTGCGTACTTTCTTAACTAATTCCAATGCAGATGTTCTTCTGAAGGTTGATCTTAGAAATGCTTTTAACTCTATTGATAGGATAACCCTGCTGAAAGAAGTGGCTAACAATACCCCCGAAATATATCATTACGTTTGGCAATGTTACAGTCAAAATTCAAACTTGTTTTATTAAAACCATATTATTGAGTCTGCTGTCGGTGTTCAACAGGGTGATCCATTAGGTCCAGCTCTTTTCAGTTTGGGAATTCAACCTATCATTTCAAATTTAAAATCCAAGCTGAATGTCTGGTATCTGGACGACGGTACACTGGGAGGTAAAGCAAATGACGTCCTCAATGATCTTACTCATATTTTTCAAAATTTTAAAAATATTTTGGACTTGAACCAAATACAAATAAATGTGAAATATTTATTTCTAATAATTTATCTATTTCTAACAGAGATATCTTAATTCAAAATTTCAATCAGATTTCTGCAGGAATAAAAACTGTTAATTCGTTATCGCTTTACCTGCTTGGTGCTCCGTTGTTTTTCGATAGTATTAAACCTGTTTTAAAAACAAAATTTGATCAATTTTTAAATCACGTTGATAAATTATATATTTTAAACCCCCATATTGCCCTTACCATATTAAAATGTTGTCTCTTTGTACCTAAATTTACATACTTGTTACGCTCAAGTCCAGTTTGGAAATGTTCGGATATTTTAAAAGATATTGATAGTAATCTTAAAATTGCTTTAGAAAACATTCTAAATTTGACATTAAATACAATAGCCTGGAATCAAGCCACTTTACCTATCAAATTTGGTGGAATTGGTGTAAGAAATATTTCTAGCGTCGCATTGCCTGCTTTCTTTGCTTCCGTGCATAGTGTCAATGACCTATGTAACACAATTTTAAATAATAAAGTAGACCTGTGCTTTGCTGCGAAAATGCGAAAATGTCCCAATGGAAGTTAACCAACAAAAACAGTGGGTTCCGTTGGTACGGAGTGTCCAGAAAAATTTATTTCAAAATTTCCATATTCATCAAGATCAGGCTCGCCTTCTAGCTGTTTCGACTAAGGAATCTAGCCACTGGTTTTCTACCATCAAGTAATCTCGGCACATTGCTTGATGGGGAAAGCTTGCGCATCGCCGTAGGAATCCGGCTAGGAGTGGCTATTTGTCAACCTCACCAGTGCCCCTGTGGTAGCAGCGTCGATGAGTTTGGGCGCCACGGACTTTCATGCAAGAAAAATGCAGGTAGGTTTTTCCGTCACGGTTCTTTGAACGAAATCATCCGAAGGGCTCTTTTCTCTATAAATATCCCCTCGGTTTTAGAGCCTTGCGCGATATTTAGAGACAGACGATGGCAAGAGACCCGACGGTATGACTTTGGTCCTTTGGGAGAGAGGTAAAGCCCTAGTGTGGGATGCTACTTGCGTCGACACTTTGGTGGCCTCTCATCTCAAAGGTACCTCTTTTAGAGCCGGGGCGACATCAGAGGCAGCCGAATTTAGTAAATGGCGCAAATATGAGTCTTTGAGAAATGACTACATATTTGTGCCATTTGCTGTAGAGACTATCGGTCCATGGGGTCCACGTGCAATGAAATTTCTAAAGGAACTGTATCCACGACTGGTCGTCGCTGCTGGTGATAAGAGGGCTGGTCCTTTCCTCGCTCAAAGGCTAAGTATAGCTATTCAGCGAGTAAAAATCAGCCAGCGTTCTTGGCACTATACCACGGGGAGCAGGTCTAATGGAGAATAGGTATCTGCGCAAAATGGAATTAAAGTGCACGAGTGTATGAGCAACGAGTGTATGAGCTATTCCGTCACTCTCATAGCTCGATAGGACGTCAATTAGACACGACCGGAAAGAGATCAGTGGCCGGACCAACGGATTCACGTGCTTTTCGATGCAGGGGGAAACCCCCTCTTACTTTTTGAGAAGGAGCCGGGGCTATTACTGAGAATATCTTAACAGACAAACTCAATACCTGAATTTTGGCGATACATACAATTCGGCCAAATGATCAGCAGTCACGCATACGAAGACACAATAATGAGTTCTATGATAAGATTGATTTTAAAGCTGTTTTCGCACTTAAACTTTTTTTGTTATGGTAGTGTAAACTTTTACTAATTTAAATTTCTATGAACGTACTTGTCAACTGATTCCGGAGCAGCACCCAAAAGGCGGCGAGCAATGACTTCATAGGAGCGGTGATAGTTTCTAGGTTTTTCCTTCTCGTATAGGTCAGCATTTGATTGCCAGAAATTGCCAACAAAATTAACAGACTTTGAGTTGCTAAAGTCAACTTCTTGGTTGTACTGAAAAATTAAAAATCATGCACATATATTGGTCTTAACTTTTCCAACCATAACAAGTCATTATTAACATAAAAGAAGCAAATACTTACAGCCTTGAAGTAGCCCCTCTCGAGATATTGCAAGAAAGTTTTTTCATAGGTGTCAAGGAACTGTAACTCTTGAACATTGTTTTCATAAGGTATTTGGTAGTAGGCTGGTCTCTGAATGAAAGGATAATAATAAAATAGGAAAGGAACGTAGCCAGATTTGATTGGTTTACTCCAAGTGAACTCAGGAATTTCACCCAGTCCATTGCTAAGACGTTCTAGGTAGTAACGGGCAAGCAACTGCTTGTAAAAGTGGAAATAAGCTTCACCACGATGTTCTTTTGATTCCGATAAGATATCTCCTCGCATCCAGAATGAGAAATAAGAGTGGAAGTAATAGTTGTAAGAGTTTAAGCCAATGTCTTCAGTGAAGTAAGATAACTTGTATTCCTCATCACCGTAAGACATGTAGCTAGAGTAGTTACTGTAATATACATAGTAGTCGTTTTCGTGGACGACGCCGTACTCAGCAGCGTAAGCAGGATTGGAAATTTCGCCTTGCATTTTAGTTTGGAGTAATCTGTAGTAAACATCTGAGTTGATAAAGAAATAAGGGTAAATTTCGTAAGGAGCAGGAAGAACTATTCATTTAGTGTCTGCACGATGAAGGACAGCGATATAGTACGCATACAGGAATTGTCCCTCGTTAAAGTACACACGTGCATAGGCGGCAGTTTTGTAGAAGGTTTCGAAGTCTTTGGCATAATAGAAGAAAAGCTTCATCCCTCTGTTTGTCATAGAAAATAGAGAATACGTGATTTTTTGGCAAAAATCCGTATTTGTACAACACTAAGAAGTCTTCTACAGCCTTTTTTGTTCTGTGAACAAAGAAATTTCAAATTAATATTATCCATTAAATTATTTAGATATTTGATATGCTTAAGTAACTGCCATGTTTCGAGGGCGGTTTCACGTGTCGTTTTATTTTTCGTGAGTGAATGTCATCGCTTGCAATTCAGCACATAAACTATGCAAACAAATATCGTGAGTGACGCAAGCACTTTAAGAAGTGCAGTGGCATCGTGTCACATACGTGGAAGTCTTTTCTATTGCACACATTATTTGTTTCTGCACTTATTACGTACAACTAGTTGTATTGAAATATAAAACCTACATATTGTTGTTCAGCAGTAGAATTTGATAGGCTAGTAATGATGATGACAAATAAAAACTTACCGTGTAATTTTCAATGTTTGCTTCAATATTGTAGTCTTTAGCAATTTTGTAATATTCCGCATTTGTGTCGATTTGGTTAGGTGCGAAGAAAAGATCTAATATTTTCTTCTGTTTCGCTACGAACTCTGCGTCGACTGTAAAATAATGGATACTTCCTTTTACCACATTTCTCCGTTACTGGCTTGTATTTTGTATATTCCAGTAAATTTAAGGAATATAAGTAAGTCATTGATCATTATTCTTAAAACTAAAGAGTGCTTGTTGCTTATGACTATTATATTTTAAAAATTAAAACATGTTTAAAAGCTTTTATTTTTATAGTTTCATTCCTATATTCCGTTTCTTTATTGAAGCAAAGAAGTTCAATGATATAAATGCACACCTTTATCATTTCACTTTCGTATCTTACATTCTGCAACATTTTATTGAAATTTAATATAAAGTAAAAAATGTAATATGTCGTCCTGTATACAGTTATGTGACAGAACCACGCTGCATATGCTATGTGCTATGTGTAATTACACATAGCTGCTACACAAATGGGTCGATCGGTCGGTTTTTACACTAACGAAATGTCAGTGTGAAATAGCAGGTTAGTGTTGCTATATTGTAGTTATTTGTAATCCATACAAATACTGGTTCCTTGAAGGATCCAAACCTGCCGCTTACAGCGCCGCAACTTAATTCCAAGCTATTGCGCCATGGAACTGTCATTGGAGCAATGATATTGTCTCTATTGAAGGTCGCTTAGTGGTGTTAGAAAATTTGAAATATTTTATTAATTTTTTTTTTAAATTCTGGCAATATACTTCTAAATTATATAATAGAGAAGGATTGCAGTTTTGGCCTCCGTGGATGGAGAAACCAATAAAAAAACGATAGCTAATAATTTTAAGCAGAACTTTGTGGTGAGTGACTGCAAATTTCAGTAATGGCCCTTCTGCGATAGTATTACTTGATGTGCCGGTTTTATCATATGCATATTTATGAGTGTATGGTGCATAATGCCTTTATGAAGATGCACCTTGGCCAAGCGTGTGGTCATGAGCACATTTCTGTTGAAAATTTACGTTGCGATGGACATTGGATTGTAGTTTTCCCTTTTAATTAACGCTTGCTTTAAACATTCATTCTTGCCTCCCAATTTAATAAGATAGGTGATAAACCCTATTGTCAAAAGTATAACCGTAAACGATACTATTAGTTGCAACTAGAGGCCTATCTCAATCGCTATAACCTGTGTGAAACTATTTGAATCTATTATTCTTGATATTTTATCTAAATTTATTTTACGTATCAGATAAACAAATGTATATGCTTGTTTTTGGACGTGAATTGCGCCTTCGATAGGATAAATTATAGCGTCTTGTGGGATAAGTTAAAGTCGGCGGATGCTTCACCTGATATGATTAGAATCTTTGCTAGTTGGTACAATACACAAGTTAATGTAATATGTTGGGACGATTTCTTTTCGGACGAGTTTGTATTGACTTGTGGGGTTAGGCAGGTTGAGCTAAACTCTCTGCAGTTTAACCTTTACTTACTTAAACGATCTAATTGAGGAGCACAATGACACGGGTATCGGCTTTCGTGTAGATCGGAAATGTGTAAATAAACTTAGTTACGTAGACAATATGGTTATATTAAGTCCCTCAATCGGGGTCTTAAGTAAGTTAATCTGTATTTATGAGAAATACGTAGCAAGCCAAGACTTAGTTAGGAGCGTATAACAAAGACGCTACCAATGTTTAAGACAGTATATACCGTCATACCTAAACGACAAAAGTGTAAAGTTTGTGATGACCTTCGGATATTTAGTATATATCGTATCAACTGATCTGTGGAATATCAGAAAAGAGGCAGAAAAAGGCGGTCCCTTACCGTTCGTGTTAACATTACTGACGGAAAATTCATCAAATGCGTGCATGCTTTGTTTTCAGGTCAAGGATTATATAATCACTACGTTTTAATAATAATCAATGGTCAAACAGTTGCACAGAGAATAGGTTGTCGTCAAAGAATTTAAAAATGTTGGCAGCAAAATAATTACTGAAAGATTTCCTAAACGAGCTGAGAGTGATTTCTATGTTCTTTTTTCAATAGTCCATGAAGTTAAGGCAAAACCGTAAGGCAATATTATTATATACACACACAAATGTATATATGTCAAGATATGAAATTTTTGACTTGTGATAACATAATGTACAAACCATACATTCCTCCCGGACTCTTGAAATCTACAACAGTGCTACCTGCGGAGTCATATTGTTAATCTTAATCATCCAAAGACTCACTCAAACGCACACAAAAATCTGTTCAGTTTTTCAAGTTTTTGCGAGAGTAACGGACGCTGATTTTATATATTATAGATATATAAGACATCTGTGTTCTAATATTAATGTGCAATTAAAAATATAGATAAAAATATAATATATGTGATTTATATAATGTCAAAAATTTTGAATTTCGTCCACTAAATATAAATAATAAGAAAAAGTTCTTACCAGTTTTAGTCTCGTAATTGAGCTGTTGTTTTGGTACAGCACCTGACAATGTCAGGGCCACGAGACTCGCCAGTACCAACAGCGTCTTCATTGTTCCCAGTCCAGAATGAAACTGTGCTTGATCAACTTATAAATTCACCTTTTATAGTGCAGGCTACATTTTGATATCTGAAATATAATCCTTTCGGCGTGTAACATTTAAATATTTTTTCTTCGTTTATCAGTTAACCTTTCAACTTTGTCTTGCGGAATTGTTTATTTATTTAATCCGCAACAAGATGAGAGAAAAATAAAGATGTAGTGAAACTTAGATAAATATTGTTATCTTAGGGACTGATGGCAGCATATTCACATTGAAGATAAATTTTTAACGTGATGTGCATTACACGCTGGTGTGTCTCGTGCGGTGTGTTGCCTCTTTTATTCTTTTTGATATTCATTTAATCAAAATCTCCAAAAAATACTCATTTTCGTCACATGTATGTGATTATGTACTATGCGTGGTTGAGCCATACTGCCGTTATATTAGTAGTATAGTTGTAGCACGAATGTGTCGTCACAACCGGGGAAGGACCACGCTCTCACAGAATACCAGCGTAAAATAGTAACTTGATGCTGCTGTATTTCGTGGAATAAGTGTAATGAACCAGAGACCCTTTTCACTGGAAACGAGGCATTCCATTTAAGTCCTCATGGGTGACAATGCATCTGCATTTTGTTTCGTAATCGAGAATAGATGTAGATGTCTATGGGCAACAGCAACCAACAAAAAAAGTGATCGTTTGTCACCTTATCCTATAAAAAACATGTATGCAGACAAATCCAAGTGTAGACTTTCTACCAACAATAGTGACCTGGTGGCTATCAATGAATGGATTAAATGCCATGGGCTTAAGTTTAATCCTTGTTAGTCTTAAGCTATTACCTATGAGTTCTGCTGGCATTACTTCAAGAGTTGAATGGAACTAATTTGTTTCGTTAGTATTAAGTGGTTTCGCGATTACTTACAGTACCACCTTTAACCTTGGAGTCCACTTCGATTCTACTTTCTTGTAGTCTTAATAATTAAAAGAAATTAACAGAACAACTTTGGCTGCCAAGGGTTTCCTGCAGCGTTTGCGTTCTTTTCTCCCCATTTCTACTACCTATGTTAGCACAACCCTTACTCGTCTAATTCAACTACAGTATTTAAAACCAATGTGGCTATTAGATTCATATTTGGTTTGCGCAAATATGACCATGTCTCCGAATTTCGTTCTAAGCTCAAGTGGTTACCCACTCGCCTTTGCCGGAATCTGCAATCTATTCCTCTTCTGTACTATCTATTATTCAATTCTATAACTACAGCTATCTCTGAAGGAAACGAATTTTCTTGATCATGGCAGACCGGATAGACTTCTATGGTAAGCAGAACTTATACTCGTCACATTCTTATCAATCTAAATACTTTAAAGCTTTCTTTACGACTAAAGCTTCTGCTTATGGAAAAAACTTCCTTCGGTCATTGGTCGTGCGAAAACACAGGCAAAGTTTAAGACTACAGAATTCTAAATAATAAGACAATAGAAATGCCTTCTACTGTCTTTTAATGACACGTGTCGCCAGGTCGTAGCTCTCACACATAGACAAATAATAAATACACAATTACACCTACAAATATCTCTAGCATTCATGCAACAAAGATTAATCTATAAACTATTGCGTTAAGGCCTCAGTCTTGTAAAATTGTTCTCGCAAAATTTACAGCATAACAAATATTTAATATTATTTAAAAAAGAAAAAGTAAAACAAATTTTACATTTATTTAAAGTGTAGGATTTGATA